GGGGGGGGGGGGGGAAGAAGGGACTGCAAGCAAGGAGTCTCCTTGAGGCTCCCTGCTGCATCAACAGGCCAGATCCAGTGGCTTTGCAGGCCGGATCTGGCCTGCAGAACATATTTTCCCAGCCCTGCTCTGTATCATAGCTGATCTCAGGCAGTGGTCAGCAGGACAGTACAGGATGGTGATTTCAGTGCTCAGGGAAAAAGATACGTGACATCACACTTGTTTTATAATATCCAACATGTGAATTGGTTTAAAGGCACTGAACACATTTTTTACAGGAGAAAATATAAGAATCTAATATAATCATTAGGCAGAGATTTGAGAATAAAGAATATTGGCTCAAGACAAATTTCTGTCAAAGGTATGCAAATTTCCCAGCACCCTGTGCTTAGCTATAACTGAGGGCAGAATCTGGCCCAGCCTACAAACAGCTACATGAACAGGAAGATACCATGGGTGGAAGAGAGCATGTTTAGGAATTGTTTTAAGTTCGTGAAAATTTCTAGAGCCTGCACAGATACAACATTTGCATGTTTATCCACAAAAATGAGCTACAGATATCCACATCCATGGATATAAAGCACATATTCATGGATTTCCAAAGACTCTAAAAATCACCCTTTGACTCAGTGTTGGCTCACTTGAGGCAAAACGAAGTTCAAACTTTGTAACTACAAGCACAGGAAAAATGCTCAGGCAAGGTAAATTTCTGGACTTCTGTTACCTTCTGGACTTCTGTGATCCCCAGCTAACGAAAACAAGTGCCCCATGCGTATGCTATGTGCAAGTTATGCCACAGGAGCCTCCGTACATTATAATGCATAGGAAACAAGTTAACTATTAGAACACTTAAGACTCTGGTCAAGGGATGATTGTTTTCCTATGGAGAACAGTATTTTTAACATGGAATATTGCTTTTTATCAAGTTAACAATCTCGCCTACATTAGTAGGGGCAAATCTAAGATTAGAAAAAAAAATTGACAGGCAGATGCAAACAATCCTAGTAGCAGGCAAACAAAATATATTCCATTTTTGCAAATGATTTTCTAACAGGAAACAAGCAACATAATGAAAAATTCAGAACAAGTAAATTCCATGTTGCAATATTCAATAAGATGTGATAAGACAGCTAAAAAATACAACCCAGCTTTACAATAGGATATAGATTTCCTTTTAGTAACAATATAAAAAAATTACATATTACAATACAATATGTGTGTGTGGCATTTGTTTCTCTGAGCGCCTTCAGTGCGGTGCAATTCTTGTCTCGATAGTGCTTTCAGCTTCTTGCATGAACTGTCTTGCATTTTTAAGAAGCCTTCCATTATCTTTGCATATTAGTCCCAGGATGGGGCAGATGGGACAAGGAAGTGAAAGGAAGGGAAGAAAACCTCACTGAGCCCTGTACCATCTCTGTATTTCAGATCAGGAAGCTGATCTTACAGAGATGTTGTGCAAGTTCTCAAGCAGTTTCTATCTCGGAGGCCTCTTCTATAAAATTAGCCACAGGGCTGAGAAGCAGGAGGGGAAATAGTTTATACTCTCCATTGCCATCTTCTGGGAGCAGAGACTGATCACAGAGTTCCAGCGTATCAAGGGATTCAGCCTGGATTGCTGGAGCTGCCAGTGGTGAAACTGCTTCGCTACTTGAGGAAAGAGAAATAGCAGGTTTCTCCTCCAATGAGGACAGGAGAAGATCTTTAGGATCCTCTGTCTTCCCAGCACCTTCAACAGAGGGCAGTTCTTCGAATAACGAAAGCAGAGGGTTGCCTCTGTATTGTATCAACTGCATGTCTGTAATGAAACAAAGCATCCTAAACTGAGATTCATGACAGATGTAAGAGCAAGGTCTTATTCAAAAAGGGAAATGAAGGGGTGGGGAGAATTATTTCACTTCAGATATCAGAGAAACCACCGTTGGTCAGCTGTGAACCAAAGCCAAGAGGATCCTGAGGACTGCACTTAAAACTTGTGTGAAATGGAGCAGGCTTGGTTGCCTTTATCTTTCGGCAGGAGAGAGTTTGTGGATACTACTTATCACATCACAAATGCACACAACTAACTTTGTCTAAAATGACCAGCCATGAATCTGTATGACATTACTGTGATCATACATCAGCATCTCAACAATTCTCTCCTCATTTTGCAGTTAAAAGTTGCCCACTTGTTACTCCAAATATCATTCCCTCTCCCTCAAATCCTTTCAATGGCTTCCTGCTTTTATACTTCAGATTTAATGGTTAGCCCTTCCTTATCGCACAGTGCCCAGAAGGCACTACTGACTCTTTCCTGTACTTCCTCATATTCCGCTTCTAGATCCATGCACTTGGATTTGTCTTTACAAGTGCTCCAATCTCACCCATCTGCCACCTCCCAGTTTGCACCTTTTGCCAGGCTGCATCCTCTGTTTGGTGCAACCTCTCACTTCTCAATATTTATTCCTCCTTTCATGAAGCCTTCCCTTGCTTTCCCCTTAATCATCTTGTGTTTGAGGCTCCCCTGCATTTCATATTCATGCCTGAAGTAGCGTGCTAACTCTTCAGAGTTGGGACCACATACATTAGTTCAGGATGGGCAATAATTTTTGACTGGGGACTACTTCAGAAATTTTTGAAGTGGCCCTGGGCTGCCCTGGAAGAGATGGGGCCTCAGGCGGAAGGGGCAGGGACAGGACACTTTTGTGCTTCCCCATCCACAGACCCTGATTGATCGGAGGGTAGGAGGGGCATGTGAAGTCTTTGCTCTCTATCCCCCCAGAGAGAACCATCAACTGTTCTGAACATCTGGTGGTTCCCTCTAGGTGGCCCTGCCCCTGGTAGTGGGAGGAGACTTCGCGTGCTCCCCACCCCACCCCTTCAGGGTGTAGGGGCAGGGGGACACACAAAGTCTCTTCCCATCCTGCCCTATTCCTCACTGACCTAGAGGCGGCGGGGGGAAGGGGAGTACATGAAGTCTCTCACTCCCTGCCTTCAGGCACACGGCACTTAGAATCAACAATGAAGGTTGACAAAGCGCCGTACACTCCCCGATCCCTAGGCCCTGATTAGCCTGGAGACACAGGCGCAGCAGGGCCTCTGCGGGCCAAATCAACCCACTTGGCCGGTCACATCCGGCCTGCGGAGGCTCTTTTGCCCACTCTTGCATTAGATGAAGCTGACTGTACACTTATCATGTTCCATAAATAAAGTAGGCAGAATGTTATATTGCAAGAGATGCAATCTATGTGGGCCACACTGCTACAGTAAAGAGAATACAGCCATGAACCCAATTTTGAGGTTCTCTGAATTATACTTGCTTCCACCTCACCAATTATTTAAAATGTAAAGTCTCCGTGGTAGCCCTAGACACACAGCCAAAAGAGACAAGGAAAAAAGGAAATATTAAATCCAGCAGCTATATTAAATAATTAATGGCTTGACTCAGCTCCTATGAAAGCCAATGGAAATTCAAGGTGAAACAGGAATTGGTCTGGGCTCTTATCTATGGAAGTGAAGTTATACCAACATAGGCTGGGAAAGCTAAATTCAACCCAGAACTTGGTATTTTTAGGGTGGTCTAAAGACTCTGTGACAACTCCCAGTTTTCCCTCCTGCCCACCTTTGTTTTCAGTTGTTTCCTGCTCACTTGTTCCCAGCTCTTCAATGCTGTCCGGCAGGTCCTCAATCTAGAGGGGAAGTGAACAAAAAATAAAGGCAGCACATTTACCAAAAGAGAATTTTTGGAGTAAAACATATTACTGACACTGCCAGCTTTCTGCTGATAAGTCACAGAGACTGCGGGTGAAGGTAGTCCCCTCATAAAAGGCAAAAATGGAATGTGTGCTTGTGTGCATGCTCTCTCTCACTCACCCCTTCCTGAGGTCTACTGATAATCTGCATAGCAAGGCCTTAAGGACTTGTTGCTGCTCATGAGGATTAAAGCTGGCAATGCAGGAAATAGATTTCAGAGATGCTTCTTGTAATTCAGATAACTAACATTCCCTGTGCAGATTTGCTGCAGTTGGTTTTTGGCAGATGTTCTCTTGATAATTTTGATCTCACCCTGTCTACTAGCTCTTTTATTCCAGCAAGGCAGACCATGATATCTGTTTCAAGTAATGCTTACAAATTAAGTCACATCAAAAATTAAATCAAAGCTGCTAGCATTTTCCTCTGATTAACATGATCCAAACCAGGCTGACAGAAAAGCTTATTTAAATAAAGGCACAGTTTCAGGATTTGTAAAATCAGAAACTGTTTTGCACAAGTATTTTGTTTCAAGAGTAGAATTTAAGAACTGGATGAAAGAACAGCTATTAGCAATTAATACTTATACTCTCATGTCAGTTCAGGAAGCTTCTGTGAAGCTGTGCTTGGGAGAAATGTATTTCATTCAAGTTTTTACATCACTGTGAAAAACTAGTGCCAATTCTTGGATGAATTGGTCTTCCTTGTATCCTATTTGCAGCGTTGAGTGCATAATTAATGAATATATGAACAGACAGTATGACTAGGATACCCTGTTATTCCCCAGCTCTATTTACAAACCAAAGAATGTTTTACCGAATGCAAAATGATAATGGGTGGAAAAAAATTAAAAATAGGCAGAAATGTGAAAAAATTTAAGAGAACACACAAGGAACTTTTTCCTACTTGCTGCATACAGCACCACCTAACATAATACAACTACATCTAATGTTCAAGCTTTTCCCTATTTCTGCTCTTACACTCCCTTTGGACAGTGAATCAAATAAGAATGATAGTTTTCATGTTTTAAACTCCAATCAATTTCACTTATCACATAGGCAACTTGACTAAGGTCAATTCAGCTCCTACAACACTTTTCCAATCCTTTCCATAAGAAAAAAATCCCTAACACTTACATTTTCCATATTGGATGAAGCATTTGTCAAGTTTATGTCCAGGGCTGAGCGCTCAGGATTGAAAGTCTAAAGGTAAAGAGAAAGAACATATTGTTTAATAGGTGTTTATGGAAAAATCAGTGACATATATACTATATGCAGGTTCACAGAGGAAAGAGGGAAAAGGAAACCAGTCAGATTCAGGAGTTCATTCCTCCCCTCTGCAATGGAAGGACACCACCTTCAACAGAGGATGTGTTACATTTGACAGTATGTAGGGCCTTCCATTTGAGAAGCTAAGAGCACTTTGCAAGCTTCAGAAGATGCCTGCAAAATAAGATTAGTATTCTTCATATTTTAAAACTGAGGCCAAAGGCATAGTGCCTTGTCTAGTATCACAGAACACGACGACAGTAAGAACCAAAAAGAATTCTGATCTCCTATGTCTTAGGACGGTACTGTTGCTAGAAGATAATCTCAGCCAAAAGGTCCCAAATACTTGTAGTCTTTATTTCAAAGGAGCTGAGTAGTCATAGTTCTCATGGTTTACAAGGGAATTAACAAGCTGCCTTAAAAATCAAGCTGCTAGTTTCTTGCATTCACTTTAGCTCCTCAGGATTTTCCAATGAAATGTATGTGAAACAAATCATAACAACGACACATTGGAAAGTCTCAACACAGTTTAACAAAGACACACCTCACTATGAACTCTTCATATACATGCCTATTAAGGCAGCAAACAACAATCAAATGTCTAACATTGCATCATCTCAAATTCCTCAAGAGTTAGGGCAGCAAACACCGAGGCTGTGTCAAGACTGCAGGGTTTTTTCGAAAAAAGTAGTTTTTCGAAAAAACTTCACCTGTGTCTAGACTACAGCCATGTTCTTTCAAAATTAAATCGAAAACGCAGCTTTTCTTTTGATGGCGGTAATCCTCACGAGGAATAACGTCTTTTTTTGAAAGTGTTCTTTTGAAAAAAAGGTGTTCTTGAATGCAAACAGGGCTTTTTTGAAACAGAGCATCCAGACTGCCTGGGTGCTCTCTTTCGAAAAAGCCTCTTTTGAAAGAGGCTTGCAGTCTAGACGTAGCCCTAGTGGGTACACATGCAATGAAAGCATGGCATGAAGGGAGAACATGCTTGGTTATGAGTCTGATGCCGACAGGCAGAGCATGTTATGTTTCTTGTTCCATGTAACATAGGAAAGTGTACATGAGGGTAACAAACCTTCTGAGAGAAATCCCTACAGTGATTATTTATAACTTTGTACTATTTCATTCACTGACATCTGCATTTGTGAGGATCTTCTCCTCAACACACTTCTATGGAATAAAAGCCGACATGAGGAGAAATAACGTAAATGCTTTAATCAATGCACATGAGAAATCAAAGTGTGCAAATAAAGAGACACTCACATCACTAAAGGCTTCAGAGCCAAAGTTAAATTTCTTCCCAGACAGCATCGCCTGGAGCTCCTCAAGACTAGCATCAATACAATTCAGAAAATCCTGAATCTCTTCCCTGAAAGAAATAAAATGACTATGTAAAGCAAGATGCATCAGAAAAATCAGACACATGGACTGGGAAGAACGCTGGCAGTCAAGTGACCATTGTAGCTAGAGAGCAACAAGAAATGGTCAAGACCCACAGTGGGTCACTGAAAGCTCAAGGCATGTCTCATTCCCATTCCACAAACCCCATTCCATAGCAGTGCTGACATGTACAACACCATTTACTTGTCAGAGAGGTACTGGTATAAGGAGGAAGACTATCATAAAAAAGAAGCAGGAAAGCTATCTTGGATTCTCCCCTTCCTGCTTCTATCTTCCTCTAATTTTAAATATCTTTCAAATAACTCTCAGAATCCTGCTATGGATTTTGTTCAGGTTCAGGGTGAGCAGGTCTTGTCTTGTTGACTGCAGTTTTCAGGAAACCAGCTCTTATGGACACTGCTTACCTTGTAACATGAGCAGTCAGATTTTTGCCAAGTTGTACCTCCTCCTATGATGGCTGGCAAAACACAAATGGTCTGGCCTCAAATGGAAAGAAAATATGCAAAGAATACTAACTGGCATGTGAGCCAAGTGGGGGAGATTGCAACCCCTCCTAGTAGCCTGAAGTATCTTTCACATTGGAAAGAAACATACAGCTAATCAAATAATTGTAATGCAATTCCCCAGGTCTTGAGTTCTCAGTAAGGTGATGTACCACTGGGTATTGGGGATTTGCACCCAACAGCTGTAAATTATTGAAGCTATTCATTCATGAGGGGCATCACGGCACCAGGGTTGCAATAGAAGTTATTGGATGCCTTTTTTTGTAACCAATTTTGACAATATGACTGTGTTCTGATGCAACCCAAGAAAGGAACATTCAACCTAAAGCAAGAGACAATTATAAGATTATGTGCTGCTGCTACAGGGCTGGATGGCAGAAAGACCATCACTTTTAAATCACTGATCCAAATTTAGCTTGCGTCAGTAGCGACCAATAATCACAAATGGTTTTCCATGCAGCTTATATGGAAAGAGTTGGTTTCTAGCCTTTATTGAATAGGAGTCAACATTAAATAAAACCCCCTCACAAAAATGGCACTATTTGGTCACTTTATCAGCAATCCCAGCTAAGGCAGAATGACCCACTGAGAATTAACTCTCCATCTGTTCTAGAGGGAGTTAATTCCCCGCCTGCTTCAGAACCTGAATGCGTAAACTTTCAATCATCACTGAAATACCGATTTTGTAGTATAAGAAACCTCCTGAGTATGTGGAGCTAATCAGACTAACCTCTTTTCCCAGCAGTATATAAACTCAATGCTGACAGTCTCAAACCCTTTCTAAATGATTTTCAGAGGGTAGTTGGAAGAAATCCATATATATGTTTATTGTTGCCTTCTAAGCCAACAATCACTTTTTAATAGTAGGTATTTGCCATGTTATGATATTGACAGAGACAATTAAGTTAAGAGTTTCTACTGAGCATATACAATACTCAGGTTCAGGAAATGAGATCTATTGCCACTGGGACCTGCCAAATAATATGCATCACTCTCATGCATGAGAATGCTGGCTTGGATAGGGAACAGATGTTACCTGCTTTCCATTAGCCTCACATGCTTAACAGCTTTCTGTGTGATACAGAAGAAAAAAAATTACTTCAGAGGCACCACCTATTTTTTCCTATAAAACCTTGAATAGTTTGTGAAATAATAGAAAAATCGGAGTGGTTATTGAATTGTGTTCTTTGAAAAGGGTTTCTTTTTTTTTTAATTTAACAAGAGACCTAAAATTGCTATTCTGCCTTGCAGGGTTTACGGAACACAACTTACCACAGGATTTTCCTCACAACTGTCTCATGCTTTTTTTTTTTTTTTGCCTGAGCTGTTAGCTGGCTCTGAATGTTTTGATCCCATGTATCAAAGGCTATGGGATATGAATGTGTTATGGACAGTAATTCCTTTTCTCAGAGAGCTCTTTCATACAGGATTCCATTCAGTCCTGTTCAGTGTGTATAAGAAGCAAGCAGAAGAGATTGTGAGATTGATCTGGGCTGGTTTAACAGACACACATCTATTTAGTTCTCATCAGATCTAGAGGGTCTGGCATATTTTTTGCTTTCCTAGTGGTTTGCTGAAAATGGCATTTGGGAAAACAAACTGGCTAAAACTAACTCTGGGCAAGATGTAGCAGATGATAGTGAGTTCCAGGCAGAGATTAGAAATGGCTGGTTCTTACCACAGCTACTTTGCTCAAGGGGTTTGAGCTGGAGTGTACTTGCATATTTCCAATTATTGGTGGCCTTGACAAATGAAAACATCCACTTTCAAGTATTCAGATCCATAGGTCTTTGATGTGGACTTCACTAAAGCTGTGCCTTTGTGTCTTGCAGACTGGATAACTGCAAATACTCCCCAGGGGACTACCTTAGAATGTCCCTTTGAAACTGCAGCTGCCTGGCTAACAGCACCAGTTATTGGAAATATTACAAAAAAACTTGAACAATTTTCATTGGCTTTCCAGTTGTTTTTTGGTGCATTAAAAATTTGGAGTTAGCAACTTGAAGAGACCTACCATATATAGCATGGCTCCTGACTAGCAGAAAATCTGCCTCTCTCTTCACAAACTGCCCTGGTAGTTGATAGCTGGGTCATTTGAGGGGACAATCTTAAGATACTTAATATTTGCAGGGCATGCATTTTCTTGAATGACCTGCAGCTCTAAAGTTTGCTCATCCTGACCTACTACAGATTGTGCTGATCTTCAAACACATGGTGCAACACCCATCTCTTTCCAAAGCTTCTGAATGAGCAGTGAGGCACTATGAATATGGAGGGAACAAAAGGGAGTTCTAGGTTTTTCTAAGGTCTTTGTGTGCCAACATGTATGCACCTCTTTAATTAAAAGTATTATAAAATGAGCACAATGTAATGTTGCAGGAATACTAGTATATAACTTAGTCACCAGAATCATATTAGTATAAACATACTCTGTACCTCTCCAGTAAAGCATCACTTTGAGTTGTGGAGTTACTCTCATTCAAGATGGAGTCAATCACTGATGCAGGATCTTCTGGAGCATTAACTTGGGCAGAATGCATCTCTACTGCTTCACTGCCTACTACACTGGACATGAGGGAACCATCAGCAAGTTGAACTAGACAGTCTGGTTCTGTATCACTTAACTCAATGGGCTGTGATGCTTCACACACAGGCAGATCCTGTTCTTGAGAAGTCTGGATCTCTCTAAGAAATACAAGACACAGAATGAAACAAGACTCAAGAGAACTCAGCTACTATACTACTTCATAAGAACGACCATAATCCAGTATCTTACCTTCACATGCTTCAGAGGAATGAAAAGAACAAGGCAAATATGAGTAACTGATCACGTTGTCCAGTCTCAATTTCTGGCAGTCAGAGGCTTAGAGACATATCCCTCCCCATCTTGGCTAACAACCACTCCTATCCTACACAGACTTACCTAATTCTTTTTGAACCCAAAGAATCTTTGGTGTGGGATTTCGTCAAAAGTTTTCTGAAAGTCCAAGGTGACTGCCCATAGTTTGGTAATATTTAAAGCAAGCTGCAGAATTGTTATCACAAAACTTGTGAGATACCAGAACCTTAGCATATAAACACCTGAGCATGTGCTTATATTTAAGCATGTAAACAGTTCCACAGAATTCAACTCAAGGTGTTTACTTTGATTCAAATTGGACCATTTATATGTCCAAAGAGGAAAAAATCTACTTCAGTGTTTTGCTGACTTAGGTCCAAGTGACCTGCATGTTTTCTAATAGTTTAAAAAACCCCAACCTGTAATGTATTGAATATATTTAAAGATTTGTATAGGTAGTTGTTAATTTTTTAGATTCAAGTAGTACCACCAATATTATTACAAGTACAAATATTTTCATTTTCTCATTCATACCCATGACTTCCACTTGGGCTACTTGCTGTAGCACACACACCAGGGGCATCATCCACAGTGTTGGTAATATCTTGAATAATAATGCCTGTACCATTTTCACTGTCTGGATCATGTTCAGAAATAGCAACCTGCAAACCACAGGAAACAACAAAGAAAAAAAAATATCAATCTGGCATATTAAGGTCTCAGTCCCTAATTGTTGGCGAAAATTAGTTCTGCATTTAAGGGGTTTTTTTTAAATGCATTAAACTTGGTGTAGTCCCTTTTTGAAGGGACAATAGGGGCTCATCTAGACTATGTGGAACAGTCAAAAGAGGATACGCAAATTCCGCGTGAATTTGCATCTATCCTCTTTCGACTGTTCCATGTAGACTATATGAGTCCTAGTAGTTTAACATTTTCTAGACCAGAATCTGAAATGCTTCATCCAAAGCTGAGGATGTTATGGTTCCATGATTGCTCAACAAACCATACAATGACCAACACATCCATTATCCCAGGTTCCCCCCTCAAAATTTACCGTATCACCATGCTCCACGGGTAGGTGAATATACTGCCGGCTGAATTTGGAAGGGGAGGCACCAGACGCATCTGTTAGAGATCTAAAGAAAAATATATAGCTGTAATGAATGGTTAGAAGACAAGACCACAAGTCATACTAACCTCCAGTTTCACACACTTGCTTACATGCAATAGCACCAGCTGCTGCTGCTAAAGCCACTTAAGTGACTAATTCTTAAGCAATTTTAAACCATCAAGTAGTTGGTGTAAAATGCATGATCTCATTACTTTTATCCTCATCCTTCTATTTTTTGTCACAACTCCTCCTTTTATTATTGAATAAAAAGGAAAGGTCTTAGGGGCAGAGAATTTCTTCATGTGCGTTGCCCAAAACGACAGGGTTCTGATGCTGGCTGGGTCAACTAGGCAGTAATGCAACACAAGTAATAATATATAACAACAAGGAGGGCATTTGGTTTGCTCATTTTGCTTTGCTGGACAGCAAAATTTGCACAGCAATTTTTATTACAAGTTCTTAGTAGCCCCACAACATAAAAATAAAAGCAACACTTCAGTTAGAGCTACAATTTTAACATAAAAAAGCATATGTAAAATTGAGAAGCTTGCAATGGCAACACAGGAAGTCAGACTTCCTCTGTTTCTCTCTCACATGCAGAGCCAGACAGACATGTACCACGCCTTTCCGTTAGAGAGCAGTGGTGTTCTGGTCTAAAACAATAAAATCTTTCAAAGTCTCCATTGAGGGAATTGGAAGACTTGGTTAAAAAGAGAATGACCTAGGAAAGGAGGGAAAAACAACAACGTTTTAGGGACTTTAACAAAAGCTTTAGGCTACCAAAAAGTTAATTACCTTTTTCTCTTGACTCCCACAATATAGTTTCCTCTCATCAAACTTAGTATAAATTGAAGGATCTGAGAAAACAAAAGATGTGATCAGATACCAAGAATTGACTCAGCTTCGAAGCATCAATGTATAGGCTTTGCTACAAAATGAGGATTGATGTGTTAGATACAAATTAGTGTTACTGTTTTTAGATTATGAGCTACATTGATGACATCATCGCATCTGGACCCACCTGAAGGAGGCCTTTAAAGAATTCACCTGGGATTTCAACAATTTGCACCCCACCATCAATCTCAGCCTGAACCAGTCCACACAAGAAATCCACTTCCAGGACATTACAGTCAAATAAGTGGTGGTCATATAAACACCACCCTACACTGGATGGTATAAACCACTATGCTTACTTGCATGCCTCTAGCTTTCATCCAGAACACACCACACGATCCATTGTTTACAGACAAGCTTTAAGGCAAGACAAACACCTATAGCCGTGGTGTCCAATCAGCTCTGAAGCAGTAGCCACTATAGTGCCTACTGCTATAGCCAGATAGCCACACTCAACTGGCCGAATAGCCACATGTGGCTAGTGGCCAGAGCGTTGATAGAGACCCTGTAGGTCCATGGTGTCCAAGTTTTCTTAAAACTACAATACCCACCTAGGGAAGTGAAAAAAAAACAAACAAACAACAGATCGATAGAATCAGGTGGGTACCCAGAAGTAACCAACTACAGGACAGACCGCCCCCCCTCCAAAAAAAAAGCAACAGAACATCACTGGACATTACCTACAGTCCACTCCCCCAGTTAAAACCTAACACGTCATCAAGGATCTACAACCTATCCTATATAATCCCTTACTCCCACAGACCTTGGGAGTAAAGATGTTAAGAAGCGGGTAACTGACTAATCACGTACTGAATACAATTTGTATCAAGTACACAATTTCAATAAGGGGCCCTGCTGCAGCTCTTATTACATTTAAAAGACAGAACCACAGCAGGGCTAGCTAGAGTCCAGGAGCTAGCGTGAGCTGGGACTCAGCAGCCCCGGATCCTTGACTGCTGCTTGTCTGCCTCCCATGCTCCCACCCTTGCACCGCGCTAAGCTTAAAAGCCAGTTCCTCCTAGCATCAGCTCCTGCTTCCCGCCCCTTGCTGCCTCTGCTATAGGGGCAGCAAGTGGTCAACTCGACTACTCTTTTACATCCCTATGTAGGAGGCAAGCCAGTCCTCACTTCCAAACAGCTCTCCAACTTCTAACAAATACTCTTCACCAGCTATACAACCACCATACAACAGAAACACTAACCCAGGAACCAATCACTACAACAATCCACACTGCCAATACTCTCTACAGGTCTACCCCAGTGATACCATTATAGGACCTAACCACATCAACCACACAATCCAGGGCTTGTTCACCTGCACATCTACTAATGTAATATATGCGATCACGTGCCAGCAATGCTCCTCTGCTACATACATTGGCCAAATGAGACTGACTCTACACAAAAGAATAAATGGACACAAATCAGACAACAAGAATGTTAACATACAAAAACCAGTAGCAGAATATTTTAACCTCCCTGGACACATAGTAACAGACTTGAAAGTTGTCATACTTGAGCAAAAAAGCTTAAAAAAACAGACTGCATTATGAAACTGCTGAGCTGGAATTCATATGGAAACATGACATCATCAGAATTGGTCTGAATATCAACTGGGAATGGCTCGCTCATTACAAAAGGTAATTTTTTCCTTCAAGTATTCTCACCTTCTTACCAACTGTTGGAAGTGGGCCACATCCACCCTGACTGAATTAGCATCATTAGCATTGATGTAACACATTAGTGCTACATCTCTGTATACATGTAAAAATGCCTGCCAAACTCAAACTTCCACTTCATGCATCTGATGAACCCATGAAAGCTTACGCTTTAATAAAGACAAAATTTAAGGTGCCACAGTACTTCTCGGTTTTGCTAGAACAGACCGATATGGCTAACTCCCCGAAACTAGTATGAGAAGATTACTCAGATGCAGTGTTCCTTGTAAGTTGAGCACTGAGGTGGCTGCCCAGGTGCAATTCCAATGCCACTCAGTTGATTAGCAGAGCACCCACAGCTGGCAGCATGTGTTTCTATTGATGGTGCACATACACACATGCTGCAGTGTGCATAACAAAATCCATTCCACACAAAGATGGGGGGGGAGGGGAAAAGAGAACTTGTTCACTTGGGGCAGTAACTGAGGTTCTTTCAGATGGTTATCCCTGTTGGTGTTCTACCTTAAGTGTCTTGACGCTTTGCTACCAAAAATCTCTGATTGGAAGTGCAGTGCCCTGGCTGGCTGCACACATGCAAAGGCCACCTCACACAGCTCTGTGAGGCCACTCTGCATGCACAGCCAACTGATCCCAAGTTCCTTCTCTGCCAGAGAGGATCAACATAAGCTCCAAAAGCACAGGTGAGGCAGGGAGAAGGAAGTAGAGCACTCACAGGGACAACAACAAGAATCTATTACTGCACAAGGTGAGTAACTTCTCTTCTTTGAGGACTCTCCCTATGGATGGCTCCACCTTACTTGACTATGGAGTGCTCCTTGAAGGAGGAAGGGTTTCGGAGCAGCTCTATGGACGGTGGAGAAGACCCAGCTTGCAAACTGAGTGTAGAGGAATATAAGTTAATCTCTTTTTTCTAGTGCCAGAATTCTGGTTGTGAGGGTTACTATTTTGAAGTCTTGCATCCATAAAAACTTGTTGAATTGAAGTAGATCCAGAATGGATCACCAAAACCATTTTTTCTGGGTAAGAAAACAACAGGAATAGAACCTCATTCACCTGTGTAGAGGTGGCACAGGTTCTACATCTAATTCCAGGAGCTGGTTTATTTCCTATTGTAGGAGGAGCTTGTGAGAGGAGTCCCTCAAAAGAGACGGGGATGATGGAAAGCTGGGAGGGATATAAAAGGGATAGAATAACTCTGCTGGATGATTTGTCTGTGATGTCATTCCAGGTGGTCTCCAAAAGGTGTTTAAGTTGTCAAATGGTTGAGATCTCATATCCTCAACCAAATTTTCAAAATGATTTGCGAAGACTAGAGGACCAAGATGTGGAAAGATGGTCTGGAGTTTGCCTCTGTCTGGCCTGCTGCTGTTTATAGCTGGGAGTAGTGTGTCGTTGAGGCTGAGAATAGGGTTCTGCCCAGAACTTCGAGTTATAACAATTTCATTTTGTTAATGTTGCCAGGTACATAGATGTTGAGAGTTTTCAAGGTGGCTCAGAAGTCCTTAAGCGTTTGTAAGGGCACATCCGTAGCCTTGCTAAACAGCTTTTGGTCCTCAAAGGTCAAATCCTCAACTGGCGCCTGATCATCTTAATAACCCCAGATAGGTGGAGCCAGGATACCCAATGCATGACAACTGAGGTCACAATGGAGCATGCTGCTGTATCAGCTAAGTCAAGAGAAGCCTTGGAGGGTCATCTGGCAATGAAGGAGCCCTCAGAGATGCTGGATCTGTATGCTTTCTTCTTGTCTTCAGGGAAGTGTTCAATAAAACAACATTTACATGAAGAGGTTATGTGTGTGTATTTCATGTAATTGGAAGGCAGCAGAAAAACAGGCTTTGAACCTGAAGAGATCAAGCTTCTTCCAGTCCTTGTCATAGGGTGTAATCCTGGACTGTTGTTGTATGCCCCTCTGATTTACCACCTCCAAAATGAGTTGAATTGGGGAAGGCATAAGTGAAAAGAAATTCAGTCCCTTTGGCGAGGACAGTCATTTTTATCTGAGCATTTCTAGTATTGGGGGCAGGGACTACACTATGGCAGATGCCTGCCAAATAATCTTAGTGGGGTCCATTATGCTGGAGTCAATTTGCAACTCTATTTTAGCCGACGGGGACGCATGCAGAATGTCTGTGAGCTTGTGTTGGGTTTCAGAAAGTTCAAAGGAAATGTCAAGGGTGTCCATAATCCTCTTAAAAGGCACTGAAATGACATGAAATCATCATCCGACATAAGGGATGATGGCACGATTGTATCCTCAGAAGATGAGGAGATATGCATGGGTGGAAAGGGTTCTCCATCTGGAAACTCCTGATCATCACTTCCTCCTCCAGCACCTTGGAATGTGGTGGAGAGTTTTCTGTTCTGGAGAGCCGTGGATGAGGAGGCCTAGTGCTCTGGGCTCTATACATGGCCCAAGGGTCCCAAGATGGCCAATTACGTGAAGGGGCCATAGGAGTTGGCAGTCAGGAGTGCTGTGGCCATACACGGATGTCCATCGGCTGGTAGTGAGAATCCTCTGAGCCGTTCTGGTGGACTGAGGAGGAATAATGGGATGACCTGTTGTCAAGAGCTGACAACATAAACAGCTGGCAGCAGCCAGTAGTGGATCAGGAAAAACAGAAAGCATTTTTGTTTTAAATGAGGGAAGATGAAAAGAGAGTGTCCCTGTTAAGGAGAAAATAAGAGAAAAGGTAACTAGTAATTAGAAAGTTGAGGTGCTGCAAAGTTTAACTGACTCAAGCCAAAGGTGGTAGAGGAGGAATTGAAGGCTGGTTGGCTATGCACGCAGATAGCCCCTCAGTTTAGTAAGGTGGCCTCTGTGTGTGCACAGCCAACCAGAGCACTGCTACCACAAACCTCTCACTGGAAGTGCAAGGCATCAAGACACCTAAGGAGATGGATCTAAAAGGGACACTCTGAAGAATTGTGATTGCTTTCTCTAAAGTGCATTAACATGGCCTGTCTCTAGCAGAGTTCTACAAAGGGGAAGGGGAGTGAAGATCTTTTATTGGACCACCTTCTGTTGACGAGAGAGCAGCTCAAGTATACAAAAGTCTGAAGAAGAGCTCTGCATATGTGTGGAAGTTTGTCTCTCACCAACAGAATGTAGTCCAATGAACTATACTAATTCACACACCTTGTTTCTCTAATATTCTGGGACCAACCTAGCTACAACACTGCATATAGAAATGTATCATCTGTGATTCTACACAATGAAAGAATGCCATGGAATGTCACTGGCAGGCAGGGATAAGGACAGTTGCACTGAAGAGGCTGCACTGGTACCTTAGACAGCAACTTCTGTTGTTGGCTGTGCTTCTGTCTTAGAACAGCTACTTCTTTCCACAAGGCTTTATTTTCCCTGCAACACAGAAAAAAAAAAAAATCACGATGTAGGGATTAACAGAGTTTACTTTTTATGCTCTAATTCCACAGTTTTTAAACTTTCGTACTAGCCTGAAGGATTGAAGACAACATTCCTTCCCTGGGGAACTTGGAATGAGTGTCTCAGACCCACCAATCCAGACTCTGGGTTAAACTCGCTCCATCCTCCATCAGGCTGGACCAACCAATTGGTACCGGGGATTTTCACATCCTCTGCTGCTCAGCCACTCATCTTGGTCTGAGGTGTCCAGCCAAAGCCTCCTGAGGCATCTATGCCAATAGCTTTCTTCTAACTGGCTATCACCATGTGATGCTCAGAGAAAGAGAGGCTCAATGTAGCAAGGACCATGTCAGAGCAATCTGAATGGCTACTTCAAAGAAACAAAAAAGAATGTTTAGCAGGGGATGAAAATACTTACTGAGCTTTGGTTGGTGCTGCTTGCTTGTCGGAGGTCAGAACGGGATAACCCAGTGTCCATAGGAATGAATCTGCAGGAACAGAGAGACTAGGACACGCAAATTCAACTTACAGCTGACCTCTTCTCTCACAACCACAACTAACCCTGTTTTGTACTTAGGAAAGCTCAGATTTCCTGCTGCAATCATCAACTACAACTCAACTACTAGCCTGGATTCTGATGCTGGTAATCAAACTGAAATAGCATCAGTGTTAATAGATTCAGTCTCAGACTCTGCATATTGGAGTTACTAAGCCACACAAGTAAACGAAACAAAAAATATGGATTATTCAGAGGAAAGTAAGGGACAATAATGAAGCTAAATGTTTTTGATTAAAATGGAACTCATAAGCCAGGAAACTAAAATCTGATTCCATTAGATACAATCAATGGCCAAAATATAAATTCATCTGAAACAAACACCATCTACCTTCTCATACTAGCCAGTCTGACATCCATGTTGTTTTGTTGCTCCCTCATTTCCTGAACTTCAGAAAGCACTTTGTGTAAATCTTCTGAACAGACTCTGAGGTCCTCAGTTCTCACTGCAGACACCTAAAATGGGATGATGTTGAAGGTGCTTTAAGTCAATACTTTGTGCATTTCAGAAATTTGTATAATGAACAGTATCATTTGATTATTGATTTTTCAGAACAGTGTCTGAATTGCCTCAATAAATTAAAAGATTGAAAAAATACACTTGTAATTTGGTGCACTGGCCATCACATCAACGCAGACTCAATCTATTACCAATCATTTATACTTGTTCCCCAAAGAAAATACTCCACAATCTTTAATCCTTTTTTAGCCTGAAATGTGCGGAAGCTAGGGAGCCAAAAGCAACTTGGATATTACGGTAGGGTGGATATTTAACACCATGCTGAAAGTTTAATCACAGATTCAATCTTCTTTCCTCAAGGACTCTGTATGACTCTGTATTCCTCTGTATGACTGACAGGAAGATTTGCCTCTCCTGCCACAGCACAAACCTGCTGTAACCAGAAAGCTAGAAAAAACCTTAGCCTTGGTCTTAGGAAATAATGTGAGCCAGATGTTCCAATATTACACTGTAGAACCAGAAACTAGTGTTTAAGCCAAAACAAGCTAACTGTAGGAATTGGGAAGGGGGAAAAGAGAGAAATGGCAGCATCAAAACTGAAGCTAAGTGTGGTCGACTAAAGCTGCATGAATTCAAAATCGAAGTAGGACATCAAGTAAAAGCATTCTGGTCTTTAACAACTTGAGCAACATAATAGCCAAAATGGTCTTCCACAGAGCTCAGTGCACACTTACTGCTACTGAACATCTGCTCTGCACTCAGAACGACAATGTTCTGGGTGCACACTACTTGGTAGGCAAGTTATGGCATCTAATGATCAAATACTATTTTTAAAAAGCCACTGTTACAAAACAGACTCAATGTGTGAGTTTAGTATTTTGAGAAGTGCTCTAGACTGATGGCCCAGGAGACTGAGGTCATCTGCCTGTCTTCAGGAAAGATACAACATAGATGGGGCAAAATAAGCACCTTCTGGATTTGAGACATTATTAGATTGTGATATGTCGTTACAAATCATTGTCGCAACTAGGGATATTAAAAATTGTGTAGTAGGCTTACTGTGTAACCTCTGAGATTTTCAGTGGTTACAGTTACCCATGCTGCAGGCTCTGCAGTATAAAGCTTACAAGCAACTTGCTCATGTGACAAACTCCATTTTGTAGCCGTATTTTTCCACAGAGAACAATGGAAGTCCCTCCATGTGGCTAGTAGGAAGTTTAGACTTGAGATTAGACGAAGGTTACTAACCATTAGAGGAGTGAGGTTCTGGAACAGCCTTCAAAGGGAAGTAGTGGGGGCAAAAGATCTATCTGGCTTCAAGATTAAACTAGATGGGTTTATGAAGGGGATGGTTTGATGAGATAACATGATCTTGGTAACTAATTGACCGTTCATTATCAGTGGTAAATAGGTCAATGGAGGCATGATAGGAGTTACTATAGAGAACTTTCTGGGTGTCTGGCTGGTGAGTCTTGCCCACATGCTCAGGGTTTAGCCGATCGCCATATTTGGGGTCAGAAAGGAATTTTCCTCCAGGGTAGATTGGCAGAGGCCCTGGAGGTTTTTCGCCTTCCTCTGTAGCATGGGATACAGATCACAGCTGGAGGATTCTCTACATCTTGGGATCTTCAAAGTATTTGAAGGCTTCAATATCTGAGATATAGGTGAGAGGATTATTCTAGGAGGGGGTAGGTGAGATTCTGTGGCCTGCACTGTGTAGGGGGTCAGACTAGATGATCATAATGGTCCCTTCTGACTTTAAAGTCTATGAGTCTATATATAAAGGGCCCTGGAAGTTCCTCCATTTTGTCTTCAATCCAGCTTCTCATCTCTGGAGGATCTTTGTTATGAACTGAAGCCTGAGACAACCGATGACTCATACCAAGAGTGGATGCATTCTAGAGACTTGATTTAAGATGGCAGATTATTCCATCTCTACCACAAGCCTACACCAATAATTTTGCAATTGGTGCATGTATTTGATTCCTTTAATAATTTTAATTCTCACTCTTCCTTTTTATAAATAAGCCTTTACGTTCTAAAGAACTGGTTAACTGTGCTTTTTTGGGTAAGGTCTTAAGTTATAAACTGACTCGAATATGGCTGGTTCTCTGGGATAAGAAGAATCTTTTCATTTGGCGAGACTGGTTTTCATAAGGTCTCATCTGTATAAGTGGTGGCAGCCCAGAAGAACAGGAGCATCTAAGGGAACTCCTTGTGTGACTTCTTTCTGGCCAGTGTGGTGAATGGAAGCGCTCTTTATGACTGGTTTGGTGTGCCTTATATAGTGGAGGACCTCCAGTCTTGAGCTGTAAGTAGCCCTGTCTCTAAGCAATTTGCCCTGAATTGACCTCCTCAGCAGTGACCACAGAAACTCCTGTAGTACAACATTACACCAGGATAACCTGGAAGATGCTGCATATGGAATTCTGTCTACATGGGCCACCAATCCTCAGCTTGTGCATTGAACACGTGTAAATAAATTAGATAAGTGTTTTTTTGATCATGAAGAATTTGTTAGCTTGGAAATGGAATAAGAGCCAACATTATATTTCATATAAACTGCCTTTTATCAATTAATATGCTCAGGGCACTATACCTTTCGTTTGATGTTTTCCAATAAGTCTGCTTTCCCTTGTTTAAAGAAAGGGTGTTGGAATTCAATTGCTGCGCTCTTCTCTGCTGTTATCATACCATTCTCCAATGCAATCACTTTCCTGAATCCATCTGTTGAGAAAAGATTAGTGCGCTCATTTCTCCCAGTAGCCAAAAGAAAGTTTGAGACATGCAGTTAAACCAAAACGAAATAAGGCTATCATCAGTAGCACATAAGAATAAAATTACTGAAAGCAGAACCTGAAAGTGAGACCACATAAACTTTCCATAGTTCTCAGCCACTTCACTGGTATTGAACTTCACAGCCAGAGAATGCACCTGCAGTACTATGTGTAACTGGCATGGACTAAGATTTCATTCCCAGGGAATGAATGTCGATGTTGATTGGAAAGCAGGTTTGGGATCGGACTGGAAGGAAAAGAATTGAACATCAACTTCTAAAGAGTTGTGGAAGTTAGAGAAAGATGTGACATATTAAGCTATCTTGGGTAAATACCTGATCCAATCAAAGCATGTGGAGTTTTGCCATTGACTTCAATGGGGCCATGCTTTTGCCCTTTGGTCATCTTTTGCTTTTACCTTTCCACAGGAATTGAATACACCCAAAACTCTCTCTATGTACTACCCTATATTAGTAAAATAGCATAGGGAAGGGAGATGAGAACACCCCCCACAAGAGAAGGGGAGACTATAGCTCAGTTTATGTATGCACAAACACACTTGCCCCTCTCCTCACATCATATAGAAGCATTAAATAGCAAGTCTGCTTTAAAAACAGCCTAGTGGCATTGTGTTCCATTTCCATCAGTGCCATAAATACTATCATGAGGATGCAGAGTGCACTCTTAAAGGTTACTCCCAGTCAAAGTTTACAATGTAAATAACATCTTCTGGTTACCAGGATACAGCTCTCTGTGTAACAACAAGTTTCAAGACTGCACTTAAAGCAGGGGTGGACAATAACTTTGTGCGGGGGCGGGAGGGGGGGGCCACTTCAAAAATCATGATTGGTCTGGGGTTGGGGAGCCCCTTTGTCCCCCCCCCCTCCCACTAGGCACCTATGCCCCTGGCAGGGCGGGAAGAGACTTCCCATGCTTCCCCACCCCCAAGCCAATCAGGGTTTGGGGCAGGGGAGCGCGTGATGTTTCCTCCCACCCTGCAAGGAGTGCGTAGCACCCCAAAGTGCATGAGCTCCTTGCAGGGTGGGAGGAAGTTTCATGCACTCCCCTGCCCCCAGGTCCTAATTGGCCTGGGAACGTGGGAGCAGCAGGGCCTCAGCAGGCTGGATCAACCCGCTTGGTGGGCCAGATCCAGCCCACAGAGACCCTTTTGCCCACCTGCAACTTAAAGACCAACTGTGGGAGAGAAAGCTTTTACATTTTTAAATCCAGTCATGCCACAAGATAACTGTTTATTCAGTCCTTTGATGATCATCAACCTCAGAGGTCATCAACTTCTTCCTGAGTGTCCACAGATTAACAGATCCCCTCATCTCCAATATCCAGATGTGGACAAGTACGTACAAATCTATTCAGCCAAGAACAGAGTTCCTTAGCAACTTCACACCACACCCGTAAGGGAATACTGTGAATCACTAAGTTCCAGTATCACTCTGTCAAGCCACTGAAAATCTATTTCTTCTGCAAGTCTGTATGCTGAACCCACTTTTTAATCCTCTTTTCCCCCCACAAAAAGGGATGTGAAATAGCCTCCCCTGGTTAGTGACAAGGGAGGCTATCCAAGGTAAATGAGAACTTGTTTGCAGTGATCAGGAACAATCAGCAGCTGACTCCACCAGTTCACTTACATGATTCCTAAAGAATTTTATATACTGTACATGAAGGAAGGGTCACTGGTAAGCAGAGCTATGTAACTGATCTTTGGCTCACTGGGTGAACAGAGGTGGAGGGAAAACACAAACAAACTCCCACCCAGACAAAAATAATTTCTTCTTGGGTCAAATGACAATTTTGTTGGAGGGGGGGGGGGAGGGTAAATCATTAAATAAAGTTGAAGAAATTTCTAAATGAACCAGTTTTCAATGGAAAGAAATGATAATGTTCCAAAAGCCATGAAACAAAACATTTGGATTTTTTTGGAATTTATTATTTCCAATCGAAACAGAATAGCGAATTCAACATTAAGGAAAATTTTCAGTTGACCCAAATTTCCATTTTCTGCCAAATAATGTCATCCAGAACTTCTCATAAGTCTGGGACTTCCAAGGCAACCTGCTCTTTTTTCTTGGGTCTCTCTCTCACTCACTCAAAATTTTCAGTCAGAATATGGTGTAAGTGATAAATATTGGGTGTGTAACTAAAGGTTGTTTTTCTATCTTGTTTCCATCTCTATTTGTCCCATGAAGCATTGCAACAAACAGCTTGTTGCCTGGTAGTTCTGCAGCATACCACTGTATTGTGTCTTTAGAGCATAAACTCAGCTCAGATTGGGTTGGTAAGCTGCATAATAATAATAATACACCATATTTGCAAGGAGACTGTTAAAAAGTAATTTATGAACTAGGACCTTAATACAGCCCGAGTTGTCAATGTGACTAATGCTGATTCAACATAACCACGTAGCAGACTAGAACATTTTGTCTTCCAAGAAAGAACTGCACGCATGTACATATGGCCTTTGTTCCTTTGAAAATATTTATAAGATAAGAACTCACAAAAATGAGGTATGAATAGACTATCTTGAACCAAATATAGGTAGAATGCAGACTTCCCATGCCAATACATATCATGACAACTTTCTATTTCAGCTCTGAATCTTCTTGAGCAGAGACCACCTACAGCAGTGGTTCCCAACCTTTTTTTATAATGCAGAATAGCAAATCCATTCACAAATTTTGGTAACATTCTATTTGCATCTTCATCATGGTAATTTATTTTAAGAGGTCATGTGTTATTTTACAAAGCATCTGTACGCATACAAGTCGTAATGGATCAGAGTTTGCAGATACTACATTTAAAAAAAATTTACAGAAAGAATTCTCTTCTGGCTGCTGGGTGGGGAAGCCTTTCTCCTAGGGGCAATTGGTACCTACAGAGGGAAGGTGCAGTGAGGACACCCACCAGTTCAGGGGGCATATTGGGCACCCTATTTAGCAACTGAAATGTTGCCCCCAAGGGCTATCACTTGTGCCCTCCCCCATGGGGTGGAGGAGCTGCTATTTTATCTCCCCGTCTCCTTCTGTACAACCCCTTCCCCAGACAGGCTACTCTTGCTCCCAGTCTCCCTGCAGCCTCGCTATATCCTCCGTGTGACCTCCTCCAGTTTCCCTCCATCCACCCCATAAGTCTCCCCTGAATCCCCCCAACCTTCCTTCAGTGCCTCCTGCCTCACATATCCCTGTTCTCTGTCATGCCTCTTATCTGCCCCCACTCCTTTCAGCCCTTTCCCAACCCCCTCCGCAGAACTGGCTGTCCTCCCCCACCCCCCGAACATGCTGGGAGCTGGCGGCAGCTTCCTTGGGCCCCAGGCAGGCATCGCAGCCAGCTCTGCTGGGAGCAGCCTGGGGCCAAACCCTCCCCCTGCAGCTCCAGTCTAACATGTGCGGGGGTGGTGACAGGTAAAAGAGACACAAGCTCTGCCCGCCCTGGGAAAGGGGTTGGGCAAAGCAGGGCCTTGGACAGGCTGGGGGCACTGCCCTGGGAGCAGGCGGACTGGCCCTGCTGGAGATTGTACCTCCCGGCTGCAGTGGGGTTCTGGGCACCCCGCAGCAGCCCCCGCCGGGGCTTAGGGATCCGCCCTGGAGCCTGGCCCCAGAGTTCCTGTGAGCATCAGCTGTGAGTTGCTTCCTACTGCGGGGCCTGACCCAGCTCCTGTTGCTGGGTCCTAGCAGGACACCCGCTGTGCTGCAGCCCCTGCCTGGCCCCAGCTCCGGAGCCCCTGCCCACTGCTGCTGGGTCCTAGTACAACACCCAGTGTGGGGGTTCACGGCCTGGCACTGGTCCGCAGCCTGGCAGTTGGAGAACACTGACCAACAGCATCAAAATAAGCAGCAATTTTGTGATGCATACAAACTAGGATTGGGATGAACACCACTATCACTTCTTCCATTGTGAGACAAGATCAAGACTAGTGCCTTGTGTGGGACTATTTTTAACTTCACTCTACTACTATGGCAATGGGTCTTGTGATATCACTGGGATCTTACATTTGCTGCAGGTCTCTACACTAGTTCCATATAAGGACTGACATTAGCATGAGGGCAGTCAAGCAATTAAAACAATCACAGTTAATTGTGCTGTTAACATTATCTCTTGCAAATTGTAACTCTATTACTGTTTTGTCTTCATCTCATTTAAAATGTCACCTGAACATGAGAGCATGCTTTCACAGGGCACTGTTTCAAGACATTGCAAGATATTGATATGCCATATGTGTGAAAGATTCATGTGTCCGGTCATGCTTCAACCACCATTCCAGAAGATGTGTGTCCATGCTGATGACAGGTTCTGTTCGATAACAATCCAAAGCAGAATAGATCAACACACATTCATTTTCACCACCTGAGTCAGATGCCACCAGCAGACTGATCTTTTTTGGTGGTTCAATTTCTGTAGTTTCCGCATCAGTTTTGCTCTATTAAGACTTCTGAAAGGATGCTCCTCAACTCATCCCTTGCAGATTTTTGATACAACTTCAGATCAAATCTGGAGCTTGTTTTAAAAATTTCACACTGGTACCCTGTCTGCATTTTGTCAAATCCACTGTGAAAGTGTTCTTAAAACAAATATGTACTGGCTATCATCCAAGACTGCTACAACATGAAATATATGGCAGAATTTGGGTAAAACATAACAGGAGATATACAATTCTTCCCCAAAGAATTGAGTCAATTTAATTAACTACATCTTTTTTTTTTTAAATGAGCATAACCACCATGAAAGAATGTCATCTGGAATAGTGCCTGGAGCATGAAGGGGCATAGGAAAGTTTAGGATCTCTGGCATGTAAATGCCTTGTCACACCATCTACAAAAGTGCCATGCAAATGTCCGTTTACTCTTTCAAGTGACATTGTAAATAGAAAGACATCATTATCTTCCTGAAATGTAAATATACTTTTTTGTCTTAGCAAAAAAGTGGACTTACAGGCTCTAAAGTTTTACACTGTTTTGTTTTTTGAGTACAGTTATGTAATAAAATAATCTACTTTTGTAAGTTGCAATTTCACTATAAAGAGATTGCACTACAGGACTTGTATGAAGTAAACTAAAAATGCTATTTCTTTTTTCAGTGCAATAATATAAAGTGAATACTCTATACTTTGTACACTGTTTTATAACTGAAATAAATTATTTGAAAATATAAGAAAAACATCAACTTATTTAATGTCAGTTGGTATTCATTGTTTAATAGTGTGATGGTGATATTTTAATCAAAATTCTTTTTTTTAGTTCATCACATTATTGCAGTCTCAAATAGAACCCATGACTTCAGGGGTAGAAAGGTTAGATTACTCAACCCTCAGACAACTACATTTCTTTGTTTAAAGAAATTCCATGTTACTTAGCAGCAAACTTAGCAGCACTGACACACAAAACCAGCTATTACTTACACATATTGAGCTGCCGTATGAAGCTACAGATATTGTTGTGTTTGAAGTATTTGGGAAGTAGCTCTTTAGCAAATCTCTGCTCATTCAGAATGCAAAAGCTCTGGCCATCCTAGAAGAAAAGAAAGAATACAAGTAAACATTTTCAAACTGTTTACACTCAAACCTCTTCCAGGCTAATAATAATAATAATAATAATCTTTAAGGAGTGAGTAAAACCAGTTCAGACAGAAAGACTTTTTGAGGTTTAGGGTGTTGAGTTCCCAGTACAAGAAGGAAAAGTTTAAATCCAAGACACCCAGAATGGCATTTCTATTGACAATGGGGTCTTGTAAATTGTCTATGAAATGTTGAGCCTAAATTTTAAAATAACCCTTGAATAACATACGATAAGTAATGCAGAGTCTTCTAAAGGCAAGTCTCAGTTTCTCCAACAAAATATAAGCATTGATGGCGTATGCTGGACCACTGTCACTAGAGTGTGCTTCCATCTGGCCCAAAGCCAAGACTTCTGAAGCATAACCCAGTTATAAAAACAGACATCTTATGGTAGTTGAACTAGTTTTAGATGTGTTCTACTTCCAAGTTTAGATTTGCTGGAGCAGGGTTGCTCTTTCACCATCTTCCTGCTATTTGAACATAAAGTGATACTGCTCCTCCTCACCCATGTGCCTTTCCTTGCATCCCAAGGATGGCCCAAAGCCAAGACTTCTGAAGCATAACCCAGTTATAAAAACAGACATCTTATGGTAGTTGAACTAGTTTTAGATGTGTTCTACTTCCAAGTTTAGATTTGCTGGAGCAGGGTTGCTCTTTCACCATCTTCCTGCTATTTGAACATAAAGTGATACTGCTCCTCCTCACCCATGTGCCTTTCCTTGCATCCCAAGGAT